ATCTTGCATACTTATTTGTATTATTACCTGCTATGCTGTGATATTTGTGCCCGAGGGGCGGATTTTCTGTGTTAATCAACATTAACTATTTTGAACAGTTTCGTAATTATTGAAAGGATCATTTTCGACAGAGATTTGAACTAAGCCGAAACATTTCTAAAGAATACTCTGATTTCACTATTTTCTTGGAAATTGTACCCGGCTTCTGTACAGCCCGTTGGTTGCTTTACCTGATTTCTTGCTGCTCAGTAATTATTTACTTCTATTACTCACTGAGTTGGAAGTACTCACTTTACTCCCTGCACCTCGCGTGCAGTTGCAAGTATCGTTCACCCGGTAGCGGGTTATTAGCGGATTGAAGGTATTATTATTGTAGCTGAGCAAGGTGACCGCCAGCGTTCGCGGCACCGGATGTTGTCTTTTGTTTTCCAGAAACTTTACTTGTATATATTTATTGGCCTGTAGTTGTGTTAAGGTTTTCTTTAGATGCTCGTGACTTGTGACACCCTGGTCGGGTTGTGTTGGGTTGTACATATTGGTTATTATTATCGTTAAGCTATATTGCACCTATTCGTTTATGTTTAATAAATATTAAAGAGACGATTTGGGTTAGTTGGCTGGCCTTGTCTTCACGAGAGGTGCCATCACGATCGGGTTTGAAAATTGGGTTGTGACACATAATTTTAAATGAGCGACCCAAGTTGGACGCTAAACTTAAATCAGATTTATTTATCTTTTTTATTATATTTAAAATATTAATCGGTTCCCAGATTAGCGACCAAAGTTGGTCTATACTCTACTGAGCGACCAACATTGGTCGCTAAAGTTGAATTATATTTATTTATATTTTATAAATTTTTTTAAACAAAATTATAATTATTAAAATTTTATAACTAGGTCCCAAATTAGCGACCAAAGTTGGTCTCAACCTGTTTTCTCTTTATATAGCGACCAACTTTGGTCGCTAATTTTAAATTCTATTTATTTATATTTTGTTATTTTTTAAAAATAATTTTATAATTATTAAAATTTAATAAGTGGGTCCCATGAAGCGACCAACATTGGTCGATAATCTGAGTAATTCTTTGACCAAGCAAGTCTGACCAGTCCGGTCAACAGTTTGACAAAATTTTCGACCAAGTTGCGACCAACGTTGGTCGCTAATTTATTTAAAATTATTATTTTATTATTTTCACCAGTTTAGCGACCAACTTTGGTCGCTTTTCTTGGCAAACCAACTTTAGTCGCTAAATTTTGGTCGCTTTATGCAGGAATTCTAGTAGTGATACACGTTAGCGGCACTGGTAGCAGTCATCTAAATATCACCTAGACAGCCAGTTTTGCTCCATTGAGACATCACATCCGACTTGGTCCTATTCTCGAGCATATCTTAATTCTTTTTGTAGATGGTAAGTTCCTCTTTGTTTTGGATACTCTAGATAATAAACAATAGTTCTCATATGGTGGTGCTAAACCTTAATTTGACCTAGAATATTTTACTTCAACTTCTAACGGCAACATTACGATAAAGTAGAAAAGGGAATTCAGAGTAATATTTTTTTGAGAATGGTAACAAACATATTATATAATCGTAGCACAAAGGCTGTGCTAAGGCCATATATACATATATCAAAAAGAGCAAAAACCACAGCTATCTTCTATCTCCTACTACACTGATCCTATGATATCTATCGTTGAATCTACATCCTGTACAAAATCTTCCTTACACCAAAAGGGAATTCGGAGTAATATTTCGGTGATATTACCTCTTTCTTTTCAACAGTCAAACAAAACAATGATAAAAAAAAATTCTATTTCAAATCATGTAAAATCTAATTCACATTCCTGGGTGCCCAAGGTGCCTTATCTTCTCTTTCGTCATTGCTCATTCCCGTACACTTCAGTCTTCCCTTCTTTGAACTCTCTCCCTACCGTGTGGTTGGCTGAAGAAAGTCAGAAAAATAGTAAATGGACGGGTTATAACACCTAGTTGGATTATCAAGCCGCTAGTTGACATATTAGAAAGATTAATAGATGTCATCGTCAAACTTTACAGCAGTCTAGTCTCTGTAGTAACTCGTAGGCCGTAACAGAATCAGATATTCCTAAAGTTTATGCAGCTGTTGAATAGTTAAAACGAACATACTGAAAAATGGAGTTAAGGTAACTAGACAATTCACCAAGGTCTAGTAAACTAAGGTGCTAGTGAGACAAGGTTAATTCACTCTGAGATTGAGAGTCCTATCTGCTCTTATGTCGGAATAATAATTATAATACGATGAAAGCACCTCATTAACAAGAAAGTCCCTGCTCTCCTCTTAGCAATGACCTTTCTAGGGCTACTTTTAGAACTGTGGATTCGGTAATAAGACTATTCATGGGCATTTTCCGACTTAGAATCGAATTCATACTGGGCAATTTACGATCTACTCAACGCCTCTATCACTTAGCAATGTCAAGCCCTATCAGATTTTCTTAGCAGAAAACATTCATACATACTACTTATTTTCTAATAGAATTTAAGATACCTGAGTCAGAGAACTTCCCTAAGATTTTTTGCCACAGAAACAAAGAACTACTCTTGCTGGAAGCTCACTTGGAATTATTTTCTAATAGAATCTAACAGTACCACTATTGATTTCTCAATCCAAGATGCATATTTAGAAGGATTTTCGACTTAAGGTAAAAGTAATGGAAAAAATCCAGATAGAATATTCATATTTGCTAATTCATTATTTCAGAATACAGTACTCGGCATTGTACTAAAGGATATATCACAATGTAAGATAACAGTATAAAGCAGTTCATACCTATCTCTTTTTTTCTAATACCGAGTCTTCAAATTTCTGGTATCCAGCACCTACAAGATTACTCAAACTTGGGCCCTCAGGTTCTCTATCTTTCTCAGCGTTAAAAAATGAAGATGGCATTGTGGATTGAACTGTTGGCTGAAGATGCACAATTAAGAGAGGATTTAATAGATTCCCCAAGACATTTCCACAAACAGCTTTCTGGAAAAGAGAAAAACCCGTTAGTGAGGTGCTACTAACTAAAGATATGAACGATTAAAATCAATACTCAATTTCAAAAAGTACTCACAGCTGCGTCCTTAGAAGACATGACAACAAGAGCGGAGCCTTTCTTCTTAGAACACTTAATTACTACATCTTCAACTTCACCAAACTCACTAAATAACTCTCTTAGTCTTTGGGCAGTAGAATCTTCACCAATCTTCTCCCAAGATACCTTAAGCACCTTTTCCTTGTCTACACTACTCCCCTTGACTTCTGTACTCGCCTTAGCCTTTGCATGTGTCTCTTTCTGTGAAGGATTTGTAGCAGTAGGCACTTTGTTTGAAAGCATTGCACGAATTCGAGCAATTTCCTCTTTAAGCTTTCTAGCAATTCGCTCCTCCTCTTGTCGAGCTAGATCGCTGGCATCAGGTGCAATAGCAGCACATTCTCTTGCATCGAGATCTGACATCATCTTTCTACGCTTTGAATCTTGTTGTGATTGGCGTTGGATCTTTTCACGTTTCACGCGAAGTAGATCATCAAATAACTTCCTAGCTTTCTCATCCTTCAGAACCTCGTATGAGGTCTTCAGCTTTTGAAAGTTCAAGTGAGCATTTGGGTCATCAGGCCTCTTGTCTAGATGCAACTCTAATGCCTTCTTCTTATAGGCTTTAGATATGTCTTTCTCAGAAAGTTTGGCCCCTTCCTTCCCGGAGGGTAAATCCAAAACAACATAATGATCAACTTTGATATCCATTTTCTACCCGAACTTTGAACTGCGCAACAAATGTAAACCAACTACATCAGAAAAATTATGATATTCAAAGTACAAAATTAAAATAAAAATAAGGCAGAATAGCCTAGGAGACACTTGTACTTGTTCCGGTTTGTCATTCCGGTCCCTACACACCATAAAGTTTCATTCAGACACCTCAACTTAATCAAAATAAGACTTTTAAACACCTCCGGAACCGTGCGAGGCTCACTTGCTTGGCGTGAATGACAAATCAACATCCACATCAGATTCTATGCCAAAATAATATTATTAACAAAATTTCAATTTCAGAAACAAAAAATAAAATAAAAAAATAAAAAAATTAAAATTAAAATTAAAAAAAAACCCCTCCTCACTTCTTTAAACTCAGCCACACACCCTTCTTAAAAGTATAACCCACCTGCCATGGCTCCTCCACCATGAATACCACCACTTCCTTCACTCCTCTTTTAAAGAAAGTTATCTATCCATGAAAAATACATGAGCATAGAATTAAGTATTTTGAATTTTGACTTATTCCTCTACCCTAATTGGAAGGGCTGTGAAAAAATTTGAAAGCTAAAACCACCGAAAAAAATGGAGGAGCCATAGAGAAGGGGAAGATGACACGATGGAAGAAGAAATACACACCAAGGAGAAAATCTAATGAAAGAAGGGATGAAGAAAGATGAAGAAAAAGGGAAAGAGAGGGGATCTAAAGAAGCAAATGAGGAGAAGAGGCGGGGGGGGGGGGGGTCGGAACGAAGGGGAAGGGACTGAAGAAGAAGAAGGGGAAGGGATTGAAAAAGAAGAGGGGGAGGGGCAGAACGAAAGGGGGGGGGATGCGAAGAAGAAGAGGAGAAGTGGGGGAGGGGGTCTTCTTTTATACTAGAATAGCTGCTAGTATTTTTATTTATTTATTTATTAATTTTCATTTTTTTAATAAAGGAAAATCATCAGCTCACGCACCTAATGTGCGTGTAAATCACTCATTTTGTCCACTTCAGCCATATCAATGCCACATAAGATAGGTCACGGGTCAGAAGGGTTTAGAAGTCTTACTTTGATCAAGTTGAGGTGTTTGGATGAAACTTTATGGTGTGTATGGACTGGGATGACAATCCGAAACTAGTACAAGTAGGGATGAATCTTTATGGAGTGTAGGGACCAGGATGACAATCCGAAACTAGTACAAGTGTCTCCCAGGCTATTCTGCCTAAAAACAATCCTAGACTTCTAAAGATAGATTTTAGCTAACTAAGAAGAGACTGTTCCAGTGACACAAACTGTCACACCCCTTTTTTTATACCTCTACTAACACTCTTAAAAATTAATAAAATGATTTTGAAGCTCAAAAAGGGTTTCAATTATGAAAAGTGACAAATTTGTGTTCAAGGATTTTTTAGAGTCGCCGCATTTGGTTTCGGTGTGTCAGATCACCATATTTAGAAATAATTTCTCCTTTTAAAACGCTTTAGACTCAAAAACTAAGTCAGCACCAGAGATTCAAGGTAACGGGGTTCATTTGACTCGGGGAGAAGGTGTTAGGCATTTCTGAGTCCTGTAACTAGTACGGTTGCGTACATGATCAAGTCGGCTTTTAAAATATTCAAATTGAGGTAAAAAATGCACACATAAAAGAAAAATAAACACATAAGAGGCTTTTGGCCTCCAAATACGATATACTAAGGGGCATACCGCGGATAAAAATATATACAAAGTCTACGGGGCATTCCCCTAAATATGCTGAATATGAACTACAGGGAACGATATTTCGCCTCTAATAAAAAGAAGAAAACCTAAAGTTTGCCTACCCGAATGATGACGGCCTAAGCATGCTCCTACTCGAAAAGTAACTAAAACAAGAATAAAAGAACAATATTATTATCTTGAACCTAAATTTTTTTTTTAATTTTTACCCAGCAACCCAATTTCTATACTGTGATAAAATCATGTTCAACTATAACCAATTCGAGTGAATACGAGTAGATAACTAAGCGAGCAAATTTCAAAACTATGGAGAACAATTACACAAACAACGGAATCATATCACCAAACAAACAATTAACGTTAAGCTTGAATAGAATGAATAGAGGATGAAAGAATTGGACCTCAATATAGCCGAAAAATTGATTGTTTCACTATTTTAAACTCAAAAATGTGACGAACCGCGGGCGGAACTCGAATTAACACCGGAAAGCTCTAATGAACGGAAACTTAGCTAAATGAGGATGATTTCTAATGCTCGGACAGACCACGGACAAGACCTCAGCCGAAAATCCGGCAACCTCGATTCTCAAATGGCGACAAACTCGAGCAACAATCTTTCGAAACTCAGACCACAAAACAGAATTTATGCTTCGTTTGGGAAAATAGAACAGAGGCGAGGTTTTCTTTTTTCTTTCCTTTCTTTAGTTGGTTTAAGCAGATCTGAAGGTTTCCGATTGAAACCAAATAATTTCGGCGAATGATAGTGGCTAGCAGTTGTGATTTTAATCTCTCTTACTCACTCGTTTTTGCCTCTATTTTCAGTATGCGGCAGGGCGCTGCTTCTGGTAAGTGAAGGTTGCTCGCTGCCAGGCTGGTCACCACCTCCAGCGGCAGCGACGGAGTGCTGAGAGAGAGAGGTAGGTGGTGTCTGTTTCTTAGGGAGGTCGAAGAGGAGGGGTACCGCTGGTGGTCTTTGTAATAAAGAGAAGACCGGCATTGCTTTTGGAGTAGGGTGGGCCGTTGGGTTTCAAGAGGAGATAGGGGTCGGGCAGGCGGTGGCTGGGAGGGGTATTCTAGGGTTGCTGGTGTGAGAGATGATGATGGAAACGGTTGAAGGGGTCTTGGAGAGGACGACATAGGAGGCTTGAGGTGGTGGGTGGCGGCTGGGCTCTTAGGTGTATTCCTAGGGTTTGTATTGGGTGAAGAAGAAGAAGAAGAGGTTCTAGGATTAGGGAAGGATTGTGTCTTTTAGGAAGTGGGGGTATGGGCTAAGGGCTCAACTGAAAATGGACCTCAAAATTGGATTATTTTAGCCCAAATTTAATTCTTTCTCGTCGAACAAGAATAAAAGTACTATCCATATATATTAATTAATTCTACTTAAGTAGAAATAATTATTAAAATAAAACTAACCGTTAAAACAAAACTATTTTTGGTATTTTTCAAATATCATACTAAAAATGTAAAAATGGGATTAGAATAAAATCATCGTAAAATTAAAATAATATTACTACCACAAATACTGATATTCTTGAAAATAAAGTGAAACTATTTTTGTATTTTCATTTTTGTGATAAATAAAATAAAAGAGTCAAAACTAGTTAAAATAGAGATATTAGACCTAAGCTAAATATTTGAACGCTAACATGTGTAAATCTCGGAGAGGGTAAAAAATTACATAGATACACACATCAATAGATCAATAAAGGTTCCAACCACCAATTAAACAAGTTCAATTAGTGCGGATCCTGCTACGAATTTGAATCCCTAAGTTTAATGGTATTATGATAAGGCAAAACAAACATTTGGCTCAGAAAAGTTAAAAAACAGCCGCACGGAATCCAATAACATAACTGAAAAAATATTAGAGAGCAGTATTATAAACTAAAAAGTAGCTTTAGCCCAGAACTTCAATAAGCCTTTTATCAATATTAGTACTATAAAAGATCTTTTTACAGGAGAAGATTTTGAACAGGAAGACTGATGCAAAATTAACCTCAATATCAAGAATTGCATATGTCATAGTTTGTAAGGCAATACTAAGCCGTTAATTTTAGTTATGCAAGATAATACTAATGGAAAAGACCCAAATTTCCACAAAAGAAAAAGGGCAAATATAGATTAGCGCACAGAATGCTCAAGATAGTTCTCAACGAACAAAAGAAAAAGAAAAAAAAGCACGAGCATGGAGCAACCAGCAATTTTAAAAACTCACACCAGAAGGTTACATAAGGAATTAAGCAAATTGGAAAAAAATAATAAGATATTGAAAAAGCAATTGAATAGTACAACTAGATGATTTTCGTATTTAAAGATGAGGATTTAGCTCTAAGAAAAACTTACCAGTAGCCGTTGAAATTGGGAGAAATTTGGCTATAAGGTGATACCCAAAAGTGGTAGTGTTTGGGTAGGGATCTGCCGGAGTTATGCTGTCGCGAGGTGAAAAGGATGGAATTCTATATTTTGTAGATATTTTAGAGACTGAAGCAGAGAATACAGGTTGCCTTACCAATTTGGATCCGGAGCCCGGACTAATCAAGTACAACCGTACAAGATATTACGCATTTTATACAACACATTTTGCGACAAGCGTCTCTCTCCCTCCCTCCTCCCCCCTCCCTCCATTTTTCAAGAGACTATGGTGTACTTACTTTGTAAAATTAGATGAATCAATGTAATATCCTATACTTGAGTTGCATTGTTGAAAATTGTTATGGCTTTAATTAGGGGGTTTTTCTTTCCTATATACGATATGAAACCTTATTATTAAAATTGACTCAGTTTTGGAAATTACCCGCCCTAAATAAGGTTTGCTTACAATTTATATATAATTTAGTACCTTAAATTAGGGGATTAAATTACACCCTTTTTCTTTTTTTTTTCTCCTCTTCTCTTTCTATATTTTCTGCCGCCTCTCTCCATGTATTATTCATTATTAATACCTTAAATTAAGGGATTTAGTTATATCCTTTTCCTATGTTCTCTCCTCTCCTATTTCTATAAGCGTAAACGGTTAATAAAAAAATGTTACCATATATACAAATACAAGAGAGATTGAAAACTTCTAGGTTTTGAATAGCAGATTCATTCTTAGCCAATTTACTTTATTCGCCCAACAAATCACTTTAATTCCTGCAGCATAGAGATGGCAAAGATGGTCAAGAGAAAGAAAGCTTAATACACTGTCATCTCCAATAGTGACCTCCTTGGCATCACCGTGCTAAGCAGTGTCCTTGAGGACAAGCAGATGGGGGTCGTCATGCTGACGTTCTCTGATATGATCATAAAGAGAAGACCGAAAAACTACATAAGCCAAAACTCAGCTCGGCTCAGAAACATACAATCTAACAAACTGGTTGGCCATGGCCTGAACATCCAAGGCTAATGGCCTCTCTGCTACCGACAGATATGCTAAACTACCAAAGCTCTCCACCTTGCGAATCAAGGCATCGACTACCACATTGGCCTTCCCGGGATGATATAGAAGGGTGTTATGAGGCTCGGGAAGAAGGGAAAGCTGAGCCCTTGGTATATCGGGCCCTTTTAGATTCTTGAGAGGATTGGAGAGGTGGCTTACCGACTTGCACTACCACCCAGTCTAGCTGCAATTCATCCAGTATTCCATGTTTCTATGCTTCGGAAGTATCACGTCGATCCGTCTCATGTGTTGGATTTCAGATCAGTCCAGTTGGACAATTATCTGTCTTATGCTGAGGAGTCGGTGGCCATTTGGGACGGGCAGGATCGAAAGTTGAGGTCGAAGAGCATTGGTTCAGTGAAGGTTCAGTGGAGGGGTCAGCCAGTCGAGTAGGCGACCTGAGAGACTGAGCATGATATGCGTAGCCATTATCCTTATCTTTTCACCACTTCAGGTATGTCTTTATACTCGTTCGAGGACGAACACTTATTTTAAGAGGGGGAGGCTGTAACGATCGGCCAATCGTTTTGAGTATTTTAGCCACAATACCCTAAATTTTTGCTTCCTCTATGCTATAGTGTGGTTATGTAACTTACCGGGGTGGCTGGTTTTGGTTTCGGGTGAGTTTCGGAGTAAAATGGGACACACAGTCCCTAAGTTAGAAGGTGAAGTTGTAGGAGTTGATTGTAGTTTGATTTGAGTGAGGATGACTCCAGAATGGAGTTTTGAGGGTTACAATAGCTCCGTATGGTTATTTTAGTCTTAGGATCATGTCCGAATGTTGATTTGGAGGTCTGTAGGTCATTTCAGCGTGAATTGGCGAAAGTTAAAAAGTTGGAGGATTTTTGAAAGTTTGACCGGGAGTTGACTTTGGTGATATCGGGGTCGGATCCCGATTCCAGAAATTAGAATAGGTCTATAATGTAATTTATGACTTGTGTGAGAATTTCTTATCAATCGTAGTTGTTTTAGTATGAATCGGCGTTGGTTTCGAAATTTGGAAGTTTATAATTCATATGATTGAATTTGGGTTGCAATTCATAGAATTTACGTTGTTTGATGTGATTTTAGGCCTCGAGCAGGTCCGTTATGTGTTTTGGCCTGTTATGTATTTTGGCATGGACCAAAAAGGAAATAGGTTCACATAAATTGAAATGGAGGGAGTATCAGACAACAAACCAGATTCCGGCAAAATGAAACTTAACATAACACTGGCACAACCACTTCAAGATGGCATTCCCTAGTATAAAAACTAGAGCTGTTTCTCGAGGATAAAACCTAGCTTTCCTTGCCTGTTAATTTGGAAAAAGCGATCCATCAGAACTCGATTGATACCCGCATACTGCATAAAATATATAAAACCATATGAACAACATAAAATACTATCAAATTCCTACCTCTTCTTTAACTGAGGCAACCTAGAAATCTTATCATGTCAGCACTTGAATTTGATGAAGTTTCAACATGCTATTTCTTCCTTTGAGCAGCCTGTGATTAGTAAAACCGTATTCGTAAGAGAATTCCTAAAACTTACTTGTATGATGGGTAAAGAAGACACTGATTTTATTCTTTTGGAGATATAGAGGCAACCAGAGACGATGTTGCACCCCGTGTTTTCGTATGTAAGAGTACATCATAAGTCAATTAATGTGAGCTCAGAAAGGGAATCATCTTTTAAAAGTTTACAAAGTTAGTTCATCATGTTAATGTGGAGGTTATAAATATTTAAGATCATTAGTACCAAGTAGCAAGAGGTTTTGAAGGCTTAGAAGCTAAACGAATTGAAGAAAATAAGTTTCGTCAAAAGTCGACAAGTTGGAATATTTTACCATGTACTTTTGGGGTGATACTAGGGTTATTAACATTATAAGGAGATTATATTATGAGTTATTTTAGTCATACGATAGTTGGTGTTATGTTTTGAAGTCAAGCGAGTTGTGGAACAAAAGTTGGAAAAAGGTCATCACAAGTTCCATTCATAAATGTGCTGAAAATTAGGTCAAATATAACTGAGTTTTTCTCCCAATATACATGGAATTAGGGGGATGATCTACCTATCAAATTAAAGATCTATGAGTCTAATTTCCAACGCATTAAACCGTTCATCAATACGACATTGGAGTAGAGAGATATAGGCATTTTTGCGAGACTGCACAAGCTGCTAGGTGACAAGTAGGTGTGTCACCTACTTGGTTAAATGATAGCCCAAAAATAGGAAATTTTGGGTCGGCCAAAGAGCCCATTTAAAGGGTTATCTCCTGCAATATAACCCTCATTATATATCACAAATAACCAGACCTAAACCCCTGCAAACTTCCTCCCAAAAATTATCCACAAACCCTAATCGATTTTTCCTCTCTTTCAAGTTTTAATTGGGGGTAAAACCTAGAGTTTGAAGAACCAAGGGAAGGGCTGGGTTATCCAACAAGTAAGGTGAGTTTACTGCTCTTTTTCATACATTTATTCTTCTGTGAATTCATGGTAATTCGTTCTATACATGTAAGAACTCACGGGACGGTGATCGGAAGCCGTGAGTTCGAGTTATTCACTTGTAGCGGACTGTTTTGTGGACTGTTTTGTGTTGCTGTTGGGCTGCGTGTTTTACTACTGTTTTGTGGAGTTTTGGAGGAGGAAGGGTGTGGAGAAACACTATATAGATGTAGGTTGTGGGCTGGTAGTTCTTCGTAATATTTCCGGGTCGTTTGACACGACTACGGTGGCCGTCGTATGATGAAGTGATTAGGTTGTGCGTGGACTGTTTTGGGAGGCTCAATATGATTATTATTGATGTTGTTTGGGATTTTGGTGATTGTTTGGAATTCTGTGAAGTTATATATATATAGGGGAGGTGTTGTCCGTTTCATCGTAAAATAGGTTGTGGTCGATACATAATAGTTATTGACGCTTGAATGATAACTACAGTATCGTTTCTCTTATTGTAGACTAAGGAGTCGTGAAAATTGCATAGCTTGAGATTGGGGCAGTATATACAAGGTATGTTAAGGCTCTTACTTCTTTCTTTTGGCATGATCTAAAGTGACATGAACATAAATGATATGCTAATTCATAACGGATCTACTCCTAGAAACTAAGGTTGTCCATGTTGTTCTTTCCTTATAAAGTTATTCTAAACAAGTGTATGATCCTTAAATCCTACTAAGGTTCATATTGATGGTAGGGATGTCCATAATGTTCTTAAGTCACTCCAAAAGGTTTAGAACTTGATTCCATGAGTCGAGCATACATTATATATATGTATCTATTTTACTCTACCGAGCCGCGCTATAGTCGGCCGGGTATGGCACCTATTGTGCAACCACTGATCAGTTGGGTTTACCGAGCTCCACGTGGCCGGGTACGTTTTTACCGAGTCCTCTTTGAGGCCGGGTATGATATGATGATGATGATGCCCACAGAGGCGTATGTTTTTAAAAGTTTATGTATATATATGTATTATGCATTTCATGTCAGTAGCCCCCAGAGGCACTCAGATGTTACAGGTTGTATCTCCTCTATCTCTCTTTACATTACTGTTCTTATTTATGCTTTCCTGCCTTACATACTCGGTACTTTATTCGTACTGACGTCCCTTTTGCTTGGGGATGCTGCGTTTCATGCCCGCAGGTCCCGATAGACAGGTTGACATTCCTCCTAGTAGGCTATCAGCTCAGCGAAGGTATTGGTGTACTCCACTTGCTCCGGAGTTGCCTATTTGGTCAGTATGCTTTGGATATGTATTGATTGGTATGGCGGGGCCCTGTCCCGACCTTTATGATTTTATGTACTCTTAGAGGCTTGTAGACAGATGTCAGGTGTATGGATACTTTTATGGCCTTGTCGGCCTATGTTTTGAGTTTACAAATGGTCATGTCGCCCTTATAGACACGTATGTCACATGTATAAGTTTGTATATCATGCTGGGTCATCATACGTTAAGTATTCCCTTATGTTTTATTC